ATTACAGAACAGTGACTTAGTGAAAAAGTTCCATAGAAAGGGAGGGGCAGGAAGATGACGAGGGAACAGTTAAACATATTGCACAACAGTGACATAGTGAAAAAATTCCATGATGAGGAACGGGAATAGGAGCATGGGAGGAGGGCGAGGGCAGAGGGAAGAAAATTTTGGTGAAGAATATGCTTTTAATAAACGTTAAACAGAATATCAAGTACCACATTAGAATGGGTATGGCACTGTTCAAGATTGCTAGGACCTAAAATGACCGCTAAGTCTAAGCTAAATCTGATCGTGCATGAAAATGGTTTGGGCTTTCTTCTAGTTTTGTGCGTTTTGAATTTCGCGAGTTGAATTATCCGAAGACACACACACACACATAAATGTATGCAAATATTCATAAAGCACACAAACATATACACAAACATGCGTACACACACGCGCACACATGCACATACAAACACAAACACGTACACACACTCGAGTACACATACACATACGCACATAAAAGCATGCATATACACGCAAACCCAAACACAGGAAAATATGTCACCATACACAAGCACAAACATACACAAATGTCCAAAGCCTGCAAACTTGAACACATGCAAGCCTATTCAAAAAAACACTCACAAAACCCACCCAAACAAAATAATCGCCAAATATACATACACAAACTCGCGAACACACACATACACACATGCATACTTACAATATAAACACACAAACATACGTACAACAACATACGAATACTCCAAGACGCACAGCTCTGCTTTCTTACGCACCTTTCTCCTTTCTCGTCTTTTTCCGCCTCACTCAGCATTTCATTTTGTTTTAATCTTTTGAATTTTTTTCTTATATCCTCGTCCTCACTTTACATTTTCCAGGCAAACTTGGAAGGCGCTCAGTTCAAATCTGTGTCTTTATTTTATTGAAATCCATAGAACCGCTGTAGATTTAATGCGTAAAAGTTTTAGTGAAGCCGCATGCTTAAAAAAAACTGCTGGAAAGTCTAAGATCACCGTTCGGTGATACTGTAATGGCATTTTTACAACATGACTAACTGTCTTGGTATCTTCATAAATAATACAGACGAACCGCACTATCATGCTTTTATGGTCCGCGGTTTTGGCAAAAAACTGAAGAAACGAAAAATTATTAATTAATATTTGTTCATGTTTTATGATGGTGAATGCCAATTCTCCGCGACGCATCTTTTTCACTGTACCTCTAGAAAAAACCAGGAAATACCAAGACTGCCTGGATAATCAGTGTGGTTATCCCATGTTAGTGATATTACTGGTATGGCACAACTGATACCTCTAGTTACAGCCCATCCCAAAATATGAATATTTTTCAAATTATTGCTTGTGTAAAAGGACAAGCAAGTCCCGGATCAGTGAGACTCTAGTGCATGTTCTCGACCGAACCCCGCCAGGCCAAATTTCGTCGGTTTTTAGTAGTTTGCGCCTCGAGTCTTTCTCACGTTGTATTGTTGGCTGGGTTGTATGGCAGTCCGGCCAAATTTACACTCTTCGCTAGTGTTAATTCCTGGTTCTTGCTTATCTTGCTAATTTCCTTGATTGTCGCTGCTGGCTTTTAGTACTGTTTTGATGTTTTGTATGTTCGTGTGCAACATACCGTGAAATTTGGTTGAGCAGGCGCCGTTCGGCTGTAGTGCGTTGCGTTTGTCCCTCCACTGAACCACGAAAAACCCGTTATTTCGACAAAGAGCCGTTATTGAAGTGCATTTTGACTTAAGAACAGTGATTTATGGTTGAAGGATGTGGATAAAAGTCTTGCTTTTTTTTCTGAAAAATCAAACGTCTCGGTATACCCTGTTTGTGTATTTTTTGGAAACAGTTAAAGCCGAAAATTTTAGAAAATATCCTGCTTTTTGAAAACTAAGGTACTAAGATTGCTCGGGCATCAGTGTGAGTATCCAAAATTTTTAATAGCCTTGCTGGCGGACGGTCAGCGCTGGTAAGATGACCATGGTCATTTTCTGTTGTTCCCATCTTTCAAAGGATGAATTAGCGTATATCTGCACAAAAACATGTAGTCAAGAAAGTTAAAGTCAAAACACCTTTGTTTGTATTCATTTTCTATGAAAAATTGGGGCACTGAGAAGTAGCCTGAATGGTACCAACTGGCAACAGCAACTACACACTGGCATATCTTTGGATTCTTATAAGCAGCGCTCATAAACACACATATATTTATGCCAATTTGAAATATGTACATATAAGACACATTTTTACATGGGTTTTAAAGCTGATGAGAACCAGCTGCTTTTTTTAAATGGCTGTTGGATGTTCGAGTTTAATGGATTACTGATGATCTTGTGGATGCTCTTTGTGCAAAGACTTTCAACCAATTTCCACTCGTCCTTCGCCGCATCCTTCGCCACCCTCCAAGAAACAAAAAAAAAGAAAAAAAAAAAATTAAACGGCTTAAGGGTTTGTTCGGAGTCATCTAAACCCCATCTTATTCTGGGATTAGTGAATGGACTTTGAAACATCATGCAGAAATGGCTAAAAGATATCGGCTTTTTTTTTGGCTTGGGCTCTTTGTTCGACTCTGTAACGCAGCCTGAAATGGAACTAGGCTTACTGGAGGAGAGAGGAAAAAGAGGGAGGGTAAAGTGGGTGGGACAAAGAAAATGAGTTTAGTGCCTTTAAAATACTTTTTCTTTTAAACATCCTGGCTTTATACAGTACTGTGTAAGTGGAAAGCGTAAAAAATAATACTCATTGACTTATTAAAGAAGGGAATCTTCACTTATTGGGAAATGAGGGAGTCGGAAGGAGGGAGGGGAGGGGGAATGAGATGTAATTCTAAACTATTCTTTAAGATATCCTGGTTTTTTACGACGATGTCTAAGGTATGATATGCCAAAAGAAGTACTCTGTGATTCGCTTGGAAAGGAGAGTGATGGATTTAGAAAGTGGAGATATAGAGCATGAACATTTTGGTGGTCATAAAAGTGCCCTCTTCTCGAAAATAATTGGCTTTTCACCGCAATACTGAAGACGGAAAACAAACCTGGATTGCTAGGGGCAGTGCTGTAAAAATTGAGGGTATTTTCAAGAAAGAGGCACTTTTGCAATATTCTGACAAATGGGATTATGGGCAAGCGAAATAACAGTCACGCATGAAAATGAAAAATTTGTTTGTCTGGTAGCGGGGGCTGAGAGGGAGGGGGCATTTGGAGAGGCTCCGGAATGTCGCTTGAGGTGCTGCGAAAATGTATCATTGTAATTATCGAATTCAGTGGAATAAAACAAAAAAAAAATCCCATTTTTTTCTTGGCAACGACTGCTAGTCGTGAAAGCGAGGCAACTGTCTGGAAAATTATGAGCCCAAACCTCGTTTTCGTCTCGGAAATATCCAGGCCTCATCCGGATTTTCGGCCGTTTTCCTGAAATGTGTGATTTTCACTCTCAGTGAGGAAAAAAACAATGCATCACGCCATCGTTACCGTAATCCTCATGCACTTGCACTATCTTGAGGCGTGGCCACCGCCACAACTGAGCCCATTTGGGGATAACAGCGAGCTTCCATATCCGCCCCATACCAGCACAGCGCAAAGGGAGTACGGTCGCTCTTTTGGGTAGTAGTAGTAGTAGTGGTAGTAGTAGCATCCGTCGTTTTCTTCGTTTTTCCCAAGCATTTTTTTTAAC